TATCATGAATTTTGTTAGTGATTATGATCATGTAATTTACCATGGATATTAAGCATGATTAATATGATGATGCAGCCTATCATGAATGTTATTTGGTAACCAATGTGATCTCTGAATTGACTTTGAAATTGGTAAACGAGTGATTTCTCTTTTAGTCATGAGTAACGGTGTTAGCTATTAGTCTTCATTATTATTAAATATGTGATTCAAAAATGTAGTCATTGTGAAATGTGTTTTCATCATTAGCACTTAAAATCTAATGAATTGAGACAGTTACTTAGCATATAAATTATATTTCAAAGAAACTTTTTTTTTCTGTATTCTTAAGGGTAGTAATTTATTTGGTATGGAATTTTGACCTTAATATGAAACCAATAAAAAAATAAGTTAATATATGTACACAATGTGCAATTGAGGGATATGAAATTTGATTATTGACTAATCCAGATTGTGATGACCTTTACGGTGAAAGGTATACATATGGTAATAATTTCTCGTGATGAGATCTATCACTGTTTTCACCATCACTGTTAAAGTACAACTTGAGTACACCTAGCTTGCAATGCTGTGCTACACAGTACTGTTTTGTATCTGTGTACTTAAAAAATAAAAATATATTTAATATATATATAATATGCATTTTTATATCATGTTAAATAAGATTTTTATTGGTACTGGCTACCAGATCAGTGCCTCCAGACTCCTGGTGGATCCAGGTGAATCCTGGTGGACCTGGGTGAATCCAAGATCTATAACCTTTAGCATATCATGGTCCATAGGTTAAGGTGCATCTGCGATTACCCGGGACACTGGTTCAATCCCCGTCTTGCTCCAAAGATTTTCTCATAAATATATGACGTTACTGTGATTCCCTTGTGTGTAGCAAGTTTTCATCTTTTGTAACTACTTGTCTATACTGTACTTTATAAATATGACAAAATTATGGTGGTATTAGAGGAACACGGAATGCAGACATAACACAGATTTGCAATAGTATTTGATAAATATAATAATGGAGTGATGTATATACAGGTCCATAAAATGATGGCCAACAAAATAGCAGGTTAAGGAAGAAAGTGGTTTTAAAATTTTCTAATAAATGGATCACAAAGGATAACGGTATCTAAAAAAAAAAAAAAAAAAAAAAAGAATATGGTATTCATTTAGTCATCAATACAATATGTAGTCATGTTTTGCTAATAACAAAAGTAGTATAAAATACTAGTACTATATTACAATCAGGTATCAACAGTCTCCCAATGGGCAACAGAAAATATGATATTTAGTGGTTAGTAATAAACAATTGTTTATATAAATGACTAATACTGTACCTTAAAATAAGCACAGGTTACTAGACTTAACAAAATCCCTAAGTAGAATGGAGTAACAAGATAAACATAATACAGTAGAAGCTAAAAGAATAATAAGATATGAAATAATAGGAGCTGACTGGGAGTCGGCTTCCAGCAAAAAGATCTCAGTTTCACTTCCTTGGCAGGACAGAAGCATTTGAGCAAAATTTCCTTTCACCTGATGTGTTTGTTCACTTTACTGATGTATTAGCAGTAAATAGGTTCCCAATAATTAGGCAACTGTTGTGAGTTACATCATGGAGAAGGTCAGTAGTTGCCCTAAGGGGACCTTGATCAGCCTAACAGGTTTCTTGCCTCTGACTTTGGAAAGCCATAAGATGGAACTATAAAGACAAAACTAAATTCATGCATGTTTGTCCTGGATAAATTGTATCCATTATTTATATGGAATGCACTAAGTAAAGCTCTTAATTTGTTTAAGCTACTGTATTGTCAAAATGGCAAAATAACTCTGTTGAAAAGCTGAGGTGCAATAGGTATGCTGAAAGAGAATTCTATCAACATCAAGGGCCCAAAACTTTTCATCATTCCTTTTAAATATAAGCGGAATAACAAGCTGATCTCTCGTGGTGTTCAAAAGAACTAAACACCAAAGGATACCTGATCAACTGGGCTATGATTCATATATCAGGCTATGAGCAACTGTGTCTAACAGTCTGGTTGACCAGTCCATCAACCAGAAAGCCTGATCAGAGATCAGGCTGTTGGAACTTTGATCCTCAGAACCAATGCAAGGTAAGGTACCTCTTGAAATGCTAATGCACACACACTTTTACACATGTACACTTCTTCGGTTTTGTATACGTTAGATTTTGATTGCCCTAGTTATTCATCTGCATCTCTACTGTCTGGTCATCAGAGAGTTAGCATTCATCATGAAGGTTTGCAGTCAAGTATAGGGGCATGCTGCCTTTTTCCTGTCCAAAGGCTGAATGGTGGAGTTGGAGTATGCCTCCAGTATTGTCTCAGTTAATTTGCAAGACTCCTTTACTAACCTCACATTTATATAGCATGTGCACAAAATTTAAATGTTTCTGAATTTCTAAATTGTATTTCACAACCCATTAGTACAGCATTAGAATACACATTATTATATGTGGTATCCATTTCACTTAATCTTCACAATATTTTTCTATGTATAATTTCAAAAATTTCACCATGGAAAGTCCCAATCATCTACTGTATGGAAGGGTATAGAAAATTCAATCAAATTTAACATCAACCATATTTTTTTACTTGATAATTGGTTCAAATTCTGTCGTTGACCATCCATGGTTCATAGTAGTAAAGACCAGATACAAATGTTTGGTTTATTTATTTTTTAAAATATATAAATGCAACAGTAAGGCATCTGTATGCTAGAGCAAGAAACATGCTAAAAACACATTTACTTTATAGTAGTAAAATGATAAAATCGAGGCTCGACCAGTACTACCTTATCACAGAGTGATGGAAGACCAGGAGCTTACAGAAGTTTCTCCAGAGTATCTTGTGGCTTCCCATGACTGCATTGCAAGACACTCTTCCTGGAACATTTCAGTAAATGTTCCTATTATCTTGCCATCTTTATTGATGGCTCAAAAACAACAGATGGTGTGGTTTCTTTCCATTGTTTTTCAGATGTAATGAATGTGTCATCTCTTCAGGGCTTTTTTTTTTCTTTTTTTACTGTTGTATTGTACGCAATTTTGTTTAAAAAATGTATATTATTAAATTAAGTCTTTTTTTATTGTTTTAGATTCTGCAAGCTCTTTTTGGCTATCAGATTTATTAACCACCTTAATCCTTTATTTTTTGAAATCCAGTAATGGCTGTATCTTATTTTTAGCAAGTTGTAGTTTTTTAGTTTTTAGTAAGTAAGTTTAACTAAGCACCTAGTCATTGGTATAGACTTTGACGAACTTCGACAGTGAATAAAGTTGTTACATCTTGCTATAATGTTTTTATGACGTATTAGAACGTATTATAAGTTGATTCACATACAGCACCAGGAACAAGTGAGGGCCACAGGACTAGCACTGCAAACCAGACATGACAGGGCTGATTGCATCTAAACTTTTAAAATACTGTACTGAACAATTTGGACATATGCAAGTTTTGCTCCAGACCACTTCTTTAAAAGGTCAGATGCAACAGACAAGGAGCAATGGGTTAAAATTTAACATGCCATTTAACATGCCAAAATTTAACATGGGTTAAAATTTAACATGGGTTAAAATTTAACATAGAAGGAGCCGGTCGGCCGAGTGGACAGCACGCTGGACTTGTGATCCTGTGGTCCTGGGTTCGATCCCAGGCGCTGGCGAGAAACAATGGGCAAAGTTTCTTTCATCCTATGCCCCTGTTACCTAGCAGTAAAATAGGTACCTGGGTGTTAGTCAGCTGTCACGGGCTGCTTCCTGGGGGTGGAGGCCTGGTCGAGGACCGGGCTGCGGGGACACTAAAGCCCCGAAATCATCTCAAGATAACCTCAAGATAGGAAGATAGCCATACTGTAGCACAGAACAGGAGATGCTTTTTCACCCGTAGGGCTATAAAATAAAGTACTGTATACCTACAACCTTTTTTTTTTTTCCAGAATGTCGGTCAAAAGCATACTTTTTTTTATCACTTGGCAACTCCACTTTCTATTTGACAAAAATGTTTCTGTGGCTATTCAAAGAGTGCCTATTTATTCCAAATATTTTTTTGGATACTAGATAAAGATTGCTTTTTTAACATAAGAATTAGGGAAAATTGCAGGAATCCTGTTGACTCGTACACAGCAGCTCTTATTTACAGTATATCCACCCACACACTCAAATATACTGTATGCCCATTCTGCACTTTAATAAATCAAGTGATCCTTATCACCTCACCCGTAGGAACATGAGAATAAAAATAACGGAAACTGTGGGTGCAATAGGCCCATATGTAATACAATACAGTATCTTCTATTTATATTCACTCAAACTCAAGTATATATATATATACTGTAAATATATATAGACACATATACATATATACATGCATACAATGGTACCTTCGTTTACGAATTTAATCCATTCCAGAGATGGCTCATAACCCAAAAATTCGTAACCCCGATACGAATTATAAATTTTCATTTCGGGTTGAACGAAACCCGAAACCCCCAAACAGATTATACACAGACTATTACTCATTGTTGCATTGACTCATAGCATCATGTATTTTCTAGAGTCATGTGAATAATTGCTCATAGCATGACATATTTTCTAGGGTCCAACCAGCGAGTTTTCAAACATGCTCTGAGTTTTTTAGAACATGTTTCAATTCAATAATTCACTGTCGGGGTGACAGGAAGCCAGAATGTATTCATACACATTTGGCTTGTATCGCAGTCCCCCCCCAAGGCTAAATTACTGACCCCACCCAGGATGCAACCTTGCAACAAGCTGACTAACTCGTGAATACCTACTCACTGCTAGGTGAACAGAGGCATTAGGTGAAAGGAAATATGGCCAACCATTTCTGTCCCGCCTGGGTTTCAAACCCAGAATTCTCGGTTGTACGTCAAGAACAAACCTGACTGTACTATCGGGATCCTTTCTAGTCATATCAACTATTTCTCATAGTAACAAGTACTGTATGTTGTTGTCCTCGTGCCCTGTAGTCCTCATGGTGAAGTGGTAAAGCACTTGCCCTCGAGTGGTTTGTCCTGGGTTTGTTCCCTGGCCAGGGAGGATTGACTGGGTTCCAATCCTTAACTGTAACCCCTGTTCACCCAGCAGTGAATGGGTACTTGGTTGTTAAATGATTTGGCGGGTCGTATTCCGGGGAAAATTAAGATTAAGAACCTGTTCGAACCGCTATGCGTGCTAGTGGCTTTACAAGAATGTAAGAGCTCTTGTATATATAAATAAAAATAAAAAGTATTTTCTAGTCATGTTAACTATTGCTTGCTCATCACATAACATATATAAACACACACACAGGCTGCCTAACCTTGACAAAACAAATTATTATTTGTCAGGGTTTTACAAAAGATTGAAGACAACCTTTGTTTATAAAAGTTATACAATTTATGTAGTCAAATCTTCTGCATTACATCATCATCGCTGCTGAAGGAGGCTATAGAGGAACTTTATCACTTGCTAACTGATGGTTTTCACTAAAACATTTGAGACAGGAAATCTTAAAATTTTTTGGAAAACAGCTAACGGTTCCAATACTGTATTCAAAGAAGGGACAGACAAGAAGAACTAAATTACAGACCAGTTTCACTGAAATATTCTAAGAAACGTGCTGGAGAAGATAAACCGTGACGAAAGTGCAGCATAGATTTAAATGAGCAAAGTCATGTTTTGCAAACTTGATCTTGTTCTATGGCAAAGTTACTAAAATACAGTAGGAAAACAAGGCTGGCTAGGTTGTAGCTAGGTCTGTCAAAAAGCATTCAATACTGTTCTTCACAAAAGACTGGTGTACAAGGTGAAGAAGTAAATTGGGATAATTGTGAAGGCACTGAATTGAGTAGGGAAGTACCTGAAAAACAGAAGGCACACAGATACAGACAGACAAGGAGACAGGATAGACAAGGTCTTGAGCTGGAGGAATGCAACATGTGGGATCCTTCAAGACTCTGTCCTGGGACTACTACTGTTTCCAATTTATGTGCATCACCTGAGGAGATGAGTTCATACACGTCAATGTTTGCAGATGATACAAAACTAATGAGGAATGTAAAAACAGAGGACTACAGAAAGAAGACATCGATAAACTGTAGGAGCGGGCAAACAAATGGGTGCTGGAATTCAATCCGAGTAAGTGTTAGGTAATAAAGATGGGGAAGGGAGAAAGAAGATCAGGTGTCTATGCCATAAATGGAAGGTAACTACAGATATCAGAGAAATAAATTTAAGAGTGAATATAATTCCAACATTAACACCAGAGAGACATGTGGGTAGGGCAAGATCGACAGCATATGGAATGCTGACAAACATTAAAATGTCATTTAGAAACCAAAATAAGAACTTTTTTTTTTCAAGATAATCTACGAAGTTTTTGTTAGACCAATACTGGAATATGCAGCACTAGCCTGGAATCCATAACCTGTGAAGCATAAAACTAAAATGGAAAAAATACAGATGATTGCAACAAGATTAGTGCCATTTGCTTAACTAAACGAATTAGAGGGTTCAGTTCCTGAACCGATTATGTGCCTCTGTAATCCTTTACACCACCGCCCACGGGATGGGTATGGGGTGCATAATAAAGAAATTGAATTGAGCTGAGAGGGTAAAGCTATGAGGATAGGCTGAGGGAACTGAACCTCACAACCATGGTGGACAGAAGAAACAGAAGAGACATGATCACAACATACCCAAGATTTTAATAATTCACCGAGGGAATAGACAAGGTTACTTTCTCTCAATTTAAAGATGCTGCTTTAAATTGAGAGAAAGTAAGATAACACAAGTAAGTAATTATCAATAGAAGGCACCAAACTAAGATAACACAAATGGGAGCTAGGAATAAAAAGGTAATGAAATACTTGTACTCTGTACGGGGTAGTCATTAAATAAATGACTTATTTTGCCTCATTTAAAACATTTACTTCAGGTAAATTAAGTAGCATGCACTGAAAATTGTAAGTTGCCGCCATCCAAAACTTAAAGACAAGATACAACAAAGAATTCGAACATCAGAATAGTTCAGCTTTTATGAAACAGGTACAATAAAGCTAATAGGTGGGGCATAATAAGAGCTAGCCATTAATTATTACATCTCCGTAGTCACTAATAGGTAGGCGCCATCTAGCTGAGTGACGTCACAAAAACGATGACGTGTCTGGTTCTTATATGGATGCAGGTCTTAGTCCGTCATCAAGCATTGAATCTAAAATCGGAGCCAGAATAAAATTATGACAGTCTTGTGCATATCATATGAAACATTTTATCTAGTATTTTGGTAAAATTTAGGTTAGGTTAAGTTATGTTGGGTTGAGTTGGATTGTATCGAGTTGGGTTGGGTTGAGTTGAGTTAGGGTTCCTTAAAGAACAATGATGAATTTGGGTGGTGAAAATTTGCTCAAGTCTTAGACCTTACTCAAGACTTGAGCAAATTTTCACCACTCTTCGTCATCCCTAAATAAGTGAAGCTAACAAACTCGATCAAATCTAACCAATCCTATCCTAATCTAGCCTAACCAAAATAACAGGCAAAAGATGATAAAGGTATTTAATATACAGTATGCACAAGGTGTGACGTCACTATAACGTCATCATTTTATCTGGACTCGAAGGGGGTTGGATTCTACTAAAAAAGGCCTCCGAGAACTGAGGTATGGAAGCACTACATCTTATTATTTAAATAAATCTTATTATTTTCACAATATTTTGCAGGCGTTTAATTAAGTATGTAATTTAGTATTCAAATAAATATGAAAATATGAAACATTGTTTATTAATAGAGTTTGTAAAGTTAAATTTGAAAGATGTGTATGGTGTTTACAGTGTGGAGCAGACGACGGCTGACCGCAATGCAGTAGTGTTGAGCTCCTCTCCCATGGCTGCCTAGCCCGTTACCTCAACACTTTGCTTTACCCCGGCGTGTTTCACAGTAGGTTTGTGAGGGTGTTGGGAGGTGTGTGGTCGCGGGTGTTTGTCTGTGTGCAGCTGGAGCCGTTTTGGTGTGGTGTCCCTTGGGGGTTAGTGCATGGGGTGGGCGTGGTTAGTTTTGGCCTGATCGAAAAAAAAAAAAATCCAGGCTGATTGTTGTGGGGGGGAAGGACTTTATTGTTGGTACTGTCCCTCTGCTTGCATGTTTTGACAGTTAACTCTTACCTAATTATTGTGTGTCTTAACGTTTCCGTTGAAGAAATGTAGTATGTGTTGTTAATTAATATTCAGGCTAAATCATGGCTCAACTTTTCCAACAATATTATATTTTAAAGGAAAGCAAAAAAATAAAATGTAAAAAAAAATACATTAGGATACTCAATGTATTTAGTGTTTTAATAAAGTTGTGTAATATAGTGCAGTGATCTACTTACTGTACTTGGTTCACAATCGAGGATCGTGCATTCGATCTCTGGGTGGCACATGGACAGTTTGGCATGTTTTCTTTCACCTGATGTTTGTTCACCCAGCAGTAAATAGGTACTGTACAGTGGAACCTCGACTTATGAATGCCCCTACTTATGAATTTTTTGAGTTACGGCCCCTTGTGTCATCGGAAAATTCAACTCGACTTACGACTTTGTTGATACAAATATGGGTCGACGGAGCACGTGGTTCCTGGTGGCACGGGCGACCCCGCTTCAGTTTATCAGACTGCCCGCTTAGTGACGATCGCGCTTGAATTCTTGGTAGAGAATTTCATTGTTTTTCAGCTATTTTGCTTTTTAAACGTAAAAGTAATTATTATACAGTATAGCACACCATAGGTTCCTCAACAATTAGGAAGTCGTGTGCAGTATGGGAAGAAAGGCAAAGTTTTGTTGAAACGACTCGCCCGAATCAAACTGCAGTAGGCCATTGCCATAACCTTTTATAATGACACTGATGTCTCACAACAGACAAATGTTAAAATGTAGGGAAAAAACAAGTATCTATGTAAAGGTTTTTAGTGAGAAAAACAAGCAGTGAGCCACAACCAGGTCCTAGTGGTATGTAGTCAAAACAGGAGTGTGTGTACCCCCAGAGAAGTCATCATTGCCTGATGTTATAATGGAAGGGGACTTCCCTTCCAAACAGTAACACCTCTCCTCTTCCCCTCCTCGCCGTCTTTCATATGCCAACAAGAGGCATCAATAAAGGTAAGCTATAACTTGTACGTACTATAGCACAAAATATGTGTGTGTGTATTTTGAAGTTAATATTTTTTTGTGGAACAGATTAATTCAATTTACATTATTTCTTATGGGAAAATTTGTTTAGAATTACAAATTTTCGAGTTACTCATCTCTGGGAACGGATTAAATTTGTAAATGGAGGAGCCACTGTACCTGGGATTTCGGCAATTGGGCTATTTGGGTGTGGGAACCTTGATGAGCCTAACAGGCTTCCTTTCCCTGACTAAGGGACACCACAAGGTGAATCATAAGTTTACTGATAAAATTATGATTCAATGGCCACAACATGTTTTCATATACTGTTCTGCACCAGCAGCTGTATGTAATGCATATTGATTTTTGTAATGTTATTACATATATTTTAGTAAAGAATTAAATATATTGTAATCTTAGAAAATAAGTATTTTACATACCTGTATTTTGATATTGGTGGATGAATAGATTCAAGTTGCAGTTTTGTTTGAAACCATTCATTAGTTAAACCATGTATATAAACCATGCCGATCTAGACGATTAAGGCATCCCTAAGACAATGCAACCTGCCCTCTCAACTAGTATATCACATTTTGACACAAATCCCTAATGTCAAAAGATAATGTAAAGTACAGTGGCTCGCAAAATTGAGGGTTGCCTGTTTTCTATTCGTGGGTCCTCAGTTAGGTTAGGTTCAGGCAATTTAGTACATAATTTTTGTGACTGACAAAAATGTCACAAAAAATGTTTTGTGATGGGCTAGACAATGAGTCAGTCAGGGTTGGGCAAAATGTGTACTTACTGAGGTGTTAACTTTACTAGGGTAATAAATGTATTTACCATAATACATTCACAAAAAATATGGTTGATAGGCAGTTTTGATTTTTTGCAGGTTTATTTAATTTGAGAGCAATACAACATACTGTACAAGTAAATACATGGATGGCAAAGTAACGGTAAGCTGTGTTAAATTAAAGTATACTTTACACTATAAACCTAGCAGTTGGTATGGTTGATTTTTTGAGTAAAGGTGTTGATTACCATTACTTAACAAATCAAAAACTAAATACTCTGTCGACCATGTGAAGCATGTACGGTACTGCCATTATCACTTTGTGGTGGTCTCTTGGTTGCAATGACAATGGAAACCAGCACAGAATAATTACACTTGGGTAATCACACAATATCCTCAACATACACGTATAAACACATACAAGCAAATAAATAAAAAAATAAATAAATAAATTTACTCATGGCTGACTGCCACTTTTCTCTCCTTTGTCCATTGCAACAATTTTTTTCTCTTAAATACGGTAACACCGAGGTGGGCATAGCATTTATCCCTTGGGTTATTAACTTGATAGCTGTATAATTAGTCAAAAAATAAAAGCTGTGGTCTAATGAAAAAAATTACGTTCATTTATGAACTATAAATGCAAGATTAGTTTTTCTTGAGCCTAAATATTATAATTGGTTTCATTTGGCAAGAAAAGCCAAATTTTGTAAAAACCTAACTATTGCTATGTTATAAAAGACATTTTTAATATTTTGTCCTGTTTCAAAGAGATTTGGCTAATGGAGGCAAGATTGCATTGCAGTTGCTTAAGTCATAGGCAAATTATACCATGAATCACTTCAATGTTCATGGTATTTAACTGAATCTATTAATTTACCTTGCACAACTAAGTTTTTATATGTGTACAGTTCTTGTATTATTTATATACTGCACTGTATATATTTTTTGCTTTAATGCAAACATTCTACTTGTTAGAATAATAGTCACTTTAGCTAAAATTTTAGAATAATCAGATAAATTGAATTTTAAGTCATTGTTTATACTCAGAATATGATATAGAGCAAGGCTGTCCAATTTCTGGTCAGCTGAAGGCCAACATTTTTACCGATATCTTTGGCGAACATCATCTGTACTATGATCAAAGTATTTATTTTTCAAAATGGCTGGCCTCCTTTACTGAGGTGCTGTTGTAAGCTCGGGAAGGTACCGAGGGGTCCTGTTCAGGAATCAAGCATTGAATGTACTGAAACATCTCTTGTTTCTGGTGGTGCCCCAGTAGTGCTCACCTCTGCCCTGTTACCTTCTTTCCCATAGGATTGTGGGGTTTTAAACGAGTGCCTCCAGAGTGAGGAGGGGGGGGGAGGGGCAAGCTGGGCAAGACCCCAGGTTATCTGAGCTGCCATTTGTTGGCAGTCAGGCACATCACAGTTAGGGAATTTACCCATGGAAACGGTTGTTTATCTTGTTGCCCTAGGGGTGCCTAATTTTCTTCAAGCAGTAGTTTTTGTTACACTTATGCCAGCTGATGGCTTCCACAGTTTTGTAGTTGATCTCCAATACCATGCGTACCTCACCTCGTAGAGTGAGAGATTTTCTGGTCCTGAATCATAGTAGGCAAAGGATGGATCTCGGAGGTCTGTTGTGTTAGGCATGGTTGTACCTGAGCTAAGCTAGGAAAACTACTGGGGGACCCACTAGAAAGGGGGCACTGCATATCATTCAGTGCAGGATTTTTGTTTACCTTAATATTATACATCAGTTTAATTTTTATAGAATTTTCATACACGGAGCATGTACAACGGTGAAATTATCTCATAGAATGTAGAATGGTAAGCAACAAGCTTACTCTTAAAGTACTCTTTCTCTTAAAGTAATCCTTTAATAATATCATTTCAGGATAGGATCATTGATCTGTTGTTTACAGAAGATATAATTCCTTTGTATATTACAGACCCACAATGCTTGAAGTAACAAATTTACGAAATGGTGAGGTGCTTCCACACCGGCTATGCCTTTTACGTGTGGTGGGAACACAGCCAGAAGCCACATGTGCTGCTATCCACAACCAGAGTGACAACAGCAGAAATGGAGCATTATGGAAGATACATCAAGGAGGATTCAATGCACTGGTTCCACTTGTTAAAGGGAATAATGATTTAAGAATTATCTGTGGAACTGAAGAAACTACAATACAGGTGGTGTACAAACCATTAGACATACCCAGGTTTATTCGTCTAGTTTACATTACATGTCTAAATGAAGAAAAGTTTCAGGGGCCAAAGGACATGGAACGATCCCCAAACACTGCAGTTCGGAAGATCCAAACTGGAGCCCTAGTTTTACAGACATTTATGGCAGAGACACTAGCAGCAGAAGGATTGGGCCGACGCACTTTTCGTTTTGAAATAGACACTGAAGGAAATCCAATAGTTCATGTTATTCAGTTGCCTTTGACTATACGGGAAGCACACAAATTCACAGAGGAGCGGTTGTGGGAAACTTCAGCTCTGCATATTTTGTCTTCTCACCTATCAGACAAAAATTGCAAGTATGTGGCATTCTTTGGTGGCACCAGGTTCTCAAACCCTGACAAGATATCTCTCAAGAATGAGACAGAAATCATGGCCCTTACTAAAGGCCAAGTGTCACTTGGCGGTGGTGGGCTGGCTTTGGTTGGTACCGGAGCACTGTACTCGTGGGCGACCGAGGTGGATGAAGTAATGGATGCTATGCGGGATACTGAACCTGTTGATACAACATCATTAATGGATTTTAGTGGTGGAAGGTTTGTTTTTTTTAAGTCTTAATTGGATTATAATGTGTGTGTGTTTTTGTTGTTGTTTGTGCATGCGTATGCATTCATTTATTTGTGTTAGCATTGAATAAGATTTAGCTTCTGAGCATGTTTACATTTTGTTTATCACAATAATAATCTTCAAATTTCTTCTCATTTCTTTGTGTATTAGAAACCAGCTTAAGATGGTGATATTTGGTATACTGTACAGTAATACAGTGCAGCATGAAGTGCCTCTTCAACTCTTGCACTTAGTTTTCACTCGAATACTCTACTGTAATAACCATAGTGTTTTCTTGCAAATTTAATTTGACATTACAATCACAATTCCAATAGAGGGAAACGGTCTTGTATGACTAGCTTCTTAAAAAAATCACAGGAACTGATACGGCAGTGCATATTATACATATAATTTATTTTTTTTATACAGAATAATTGATGGACAATTTTATATTTTTGTTCACAATACCTCGCCAGTCAAGATTAAATTAGATCTTTGCCTCGTAAAATATTTTTTCTGAAATTAAGATTGAAATGGAAACTTCTTTGAGATTTTAATCTTTTTTGATATACTTCTTATTAAGTGATAAATTATAACTTCTTATTAAGTGATAAATTATAATTATAGATCACTGCTCCTAAGAGATGAGTTAGCACAGTGGTCCACATCATCACTTTAGCACTTCAGCACAGTGGTCCACATCATCAGCTTACAACCAACGTTCCTGGGTTTAGCTCCTGCAATAGAACAGAATAATAGCTATTATTTCTTTCACTTGATGTCTCTGTTCACCTAGTAGTAAATAGGTACCTAAGAGTTAGGCAATTGTTCTGGGTTGCATCCTGAGTAAGATTAGTACTCACCCTTGGTGAATAGCGAGTACCCGATACAGTACTTGTTTTTTTTTTTTCCAGTATTTTCTATGTAATGAGAATTTTTGTTAGAGCGGCAGAGATTACCGGTAATCCTTAGCCTCTCTTCTCGCCTGCTATTAATCCCAAGGTGGTTGGAGGTTAGTGGTAATATATAGTTTGTGGAAGGTGGCAACACGTTTATCACACATCTTGTACAGTATGGTATTTTTTTATTTAATATTTTAAATATTTATTATTTTTCTATTATTAGTTCATTGTTTTCTCTGATTATACTTTATTTCTTGCACTATTTTGCACAGGTATGTACATTAATAGGATAGATTTTATATTCTGTATTTTTATCTCAAGAGGTTACCTGAAGTAAGTTATCTTTCATTATGTAGCATTGCATTCATATATATTGATTCACATTGCAAAATCTTTTATCAGATTGCCTCCCCCATATTATAGGAAGGACCAGATGTATGTGATGGGCATATTTCGTAATAACTTGCGTTAATTTATGCAACATGTAATTTTTTAGTAACGCATTTTTTCTGCAGAGGTACATGGGGAGCATGTTATGGCACACACCTGGGCTCTGTGCTGCATGAGCTGGCACACACCCTCGACCTGGGCCACACTCCTCATGGCATCATGGCTCGAGGGTTTGAGGATCTGCACGTTTTCTTCACAACAACTAAGCTCACATCAGATTACCTTCCACAGTCGCCACATCACAGGTTTGTCATTTGTATGGGTTTTTCAGTTTTAACCCCTGCACTGTGCACCTGTTTCATGTGACAAATTCATGATGCTGTCGTTAATGAATTATTAACATTACCTGAACAGTTTTTAAGCAAAATATTGCCAAATTCAACAGTTTTCGTTTCAAATCATAGAGAGTGAATAAAAACATTAAAAACATTCAAATATTGCTGAATTAAAAAAATTTCACTCCCCCACCCCCCACACTGAGCACCTTAAAGTCCTATGTGCAGTGAAGTGGTAGATTAGTAATTTTATTTTATAATGGGACATTTTTTTTGGGGGGGGGGGCAAGGCTTTGTTTTAAGACTAAATATTCACATTTGATATGTAATCTTGGAATATCAAATATAAATCTATACTCTGTTGTCAGAAGAGAACTCGGATAAATTTGAAGTTAACAGAAATGTGCTAACTAGAAACTAGGATGTTTATTGTCTATCACAATGCAATGCATCAGACAAAACCAGTGCCGTTCTAATGCATTGGCACACTGGGCAAGTTGCCCAGGGGGCCCCCCATTATTCTAGGGGCCCATGCTGCCATATTGTTCACGAGAGATCTCTCAGCAGAGCTGATAATTTCTCTACCTCTTGCTGGAAAAGCCTGGGATTCAAATTCCTTTTCAAAAATATAATTATTATATGCATAACTATCTGATGATAATCCTGCACTTAAGCACATAGACAGGCCCATGACTAGGCTACAAGTATCACCTAGGAAGTTAAGCTTATATAGGGACTAGATCACATGAAATGTAAAGTGTGAACAAAGACAGGGTCACACACTAAATAATAATAATAATAATAATAATAATAATAATAATAATAATAATTATTACTGTATAAGATAGACAAAAATAGCTCTATCTGACAGCAGGTTACACCTGGAAATTTTGTGATCAAGAGAGCAACTTCTTAAAATCACAAGAAGAATGCAGAAACCTATTATTCGATAGCCAGCACATGGTAGATAAGATGGAAGTTTTCCCAGACACCTGGGTCTTGTAGCTAGACAGTAATGCAAATGAGAGAAAAAAATCAGATGTGGGCTAACTGCACTACAGAACACAGTTGACAGTATTAGGGAGAGAATGTTACACACTTAACAAGGAAGAGAATGAGGTAATAGAGAGAATAGTATATTGTACTTGGGAGAGAAATTTAGGTAAATTATTTGGGAAAGACTATGGTATATATTTTAAATAATATATATGTATGTTCATGTTTTTTGTTTTACTTGTTTATAGCAACTATGTATCAAAGCCAAAATGTAGAACTGTAATTACAGTATTCTTGTCCTTCAAATAGGGAACCTCTAACATTGATCCAGTGATCTAAGGGGGGGGGGGGGGTGATATAGATCATAAATAGAATGAAATTGGATATTCAAAGAAAGCCTACTTGACCCATCTACATTTAAACATTGCAAACAGTTGATTATATGCAAATGAGTGAATGATTTAACCAAAATCAGCACACATTCTGTATCTTTCAGTTCAATTATGAGGCAGTCTATGTCAAGTTCATTGATCAAAGAGTCTGTTACCTTCACAACTGATTTTGTGCGAAGAATCCCATTGGACAACATCAATATGACTGTTGAACCTCCCAAAGAACCTTTAGCATCAAGTGGGGTCTACAGCCCTCCGATTCTCACCAGAAGATGTCCAACAAAGTTGAACAATTCTAACTCTGAATCTATCTCGCCCTTGACAATAGAAGAATCGTTGTCTCCTTCTCGAACGCATAAGAATGCATGTAGTCGCACACTTCTCAATGCACCGTCTCCAAATATAACAAGCAGTCTTAACAACAACAACAAACTAATGGAGAATGATGGAAGCAAGTGTCGAGCATTCTGGGCAAGGTCAAGTGCTGTATTATTGGCATTTCATAAGTGAGTATCAAAGTGAGTTACTTGTGTGGTGCAGGCAATAAGTCATAATAACGTAACTGAAAATTAGACAACCAACCCATACATCTGAAAATAAGGTAAGTGATGACATTTTGGGCTGTCCTAGACCATTGTCATGATATTATTTACAGATTTGTGGGTTGGGTGTCCACATATGTGATGCTTTAAATTTGCAAATCTTGGTATTACTTGTAATTGTACATATAGTTCATTGAAATTGTACAGTTACTTGTAATTGTACATATATGTACAGTAATTATACATATAGTTGGCCAAAACCTTCATTGGTTAGGAAAGTTATTGGCAGGAGAAAGGTCTGCCAGTTCTTTCCGATATTTTTTTATTGTGTATTTCAAATTTTAGTACTGTCCTATCTAGTATGAATTTGGCACATAGGCTGTTCCACAAGCTTATGATCATTTAAGTGAAAAAATGTCTCCTATTATAAGCTTTGCATTGGCTTGGGGAACTTTAAATTGTTGCCCCTTTGTTTATATAATTTTTGAATTTAAAATTTGTTAATAATTTAGTGACTTTTTTTTTACATCTTGCATAAGAGTATACTGTGTATGTACTGTATTTGTTTGAAACGGTTTCTAACCTGATTTTTTGGGGGGCAGGTGGCTCAACGTTGTGACTGATGGAGATGCTCCTGAATTGAAAGGGTAAGAATATTTGTAATTGCACTAGTTGTAATTTTGTTTACACTATATAAATTAGAAATGGTCCCATTGTACAGTATATACATTTGTCTTGATAGTAAGACAGTATCTGCAGAATTTTTCTGAGGCACTTTGATTACTAAGCATTTGAAACTAAACATTTAACTAGTCAGGTTTTAATTAAAAAATTAGGTAATAGAAGAGCAAAATGCAAAGTTTGTTTATTAACGTGGTGCACAGGAAGCGAAAGAGAAAAGTTGAAGCTGAAATAAAGTAGAACATATAAAAAATATGGATTATGGATCTCTCTTAACAAAAAGACAGCTTGTTGATGAAAATAAGAAGGAAGTGGAGAGCTTTGATTCAGGCATGATTTAGGCCTTCAGGCATGATGGGAAGACATGAAACAGACAGCTGAGAAAGATTGGCCTGTGAGATGTATCAGGAAAATTCTATAATTAGGAAGGATATTGGAAAATGTTGTCGATAATTCCTTTGGCCTGTTTTATCTAATTTTCCAGTTTTATATATGTTCTGATAGTAAATACAGAATTAACTAGTCAAATACCTTAGTAAAATTTTATAAATTGATTCTGAATATTTGTCAGATTGATATACTGTACCGTGTATTGTTTACACAATTCAGACATACAACTGTTACATAGGTCTTTAATGTCTGTATGTAAAACTCGCATTTACAAAAATAATTGCATGGTGTTATGTGATGAATTCCTAGGGAGCATATTTATATCGTGGTGAAAGTGTCAAGTCAATTTCCATACTAACATGGAAGCTAATTTTTGTGCTGAGAGGTGATAAAATTACAACCGTGGGAGCTAACCAGTTAGAAGCGATTCACAATGTCCAGGAAGATTCTGCATATACAATATCTTCAATATAAATGTAGGTCATACATGTAGTGACATGTAGTTAGCAGTCCCCGTGGTACAGTGGTAAAACACTCGTCTGGCGCTTTGCGAGTGCTTGGGCCTGGGTTTGTATCCTGGCCCATGGAGGATTGATTGGGTGTCATTCCTTAATTGTAGCCTCTGTTCACCCAGCAATGAATGGATACCTGGTGGTTAAACGATTTGACGGGTCATATTCTGGGAAAAATTAGGATTAAGGATCTGTCCGAAATGCTATGCGTGCTAGTGGCTTTACAAGAATGTAAGAACTCTTTTGTGTGTGTGTGTGTGTGTGTGTGTGTGTATATATATATGTAAATATATATGTAAATAAAATAAATTAAATAATTATTTTGTAGGGGTACAAGGCTCTTCATAAATACATAGTACAGTACAACCTCGATTCAATGAATTATGACCAAAACCAATTCATTGCAGTGAGGGATTTGTTGCAGCCAGAAATGCCTACAGGATGCATTTCCCATGCTCTATGAACTGATTTCACCTAGCAAAATTTACATTTCAACCTGTAATAAAATCTACAACTACCAAATGAACATGCATCTTTGGTCATTGTGTAATCATACCAGGCACTGGAGCTAAGTTGCACTGGAGAACATTTAATCACTGCTTATCTACTAAGAGGCTCAAACAAGATTATCATCCATATATAAAACACACAGGACAAGCCTGAGGGTGAGGAAAACCCTGTGGTAAAGGAGGGAAATGTTGATGGTAGAAGGAATAGCATTTTGTATCAAAGAACTCTGGCATTCCTCTACCTTGCACCAGAGTTACACCAATCTCTGTAGTGGGCTGCAGTGTTGTCCCAAAAGAATAAAGCTTTAAGATTACCTGATCAAGATCACGTTATTAGGCCCCCACAATTTGTAACTGTGTATGAATAGAAAATCTGGTTGTCAAGGCTCTTGGCCATCTACACTTCTACCTTAATCCTGTAGCAAGGCCTCACTCAAACCCAGTCAGGGAGTGGGTGGGTACTGTGTTGATTGTTGATGCAAGTAGTGTTGATGTAGAACTACCAACTGCCACCCACTAATGGTAATTGTGACATGGGGAAAGGGAAAAGGGCTATTTGGTACTTCCAGAGTGCTACTTGGTGGTCATGTGTGATCTTTGAGCAAGTGAGAGGGCCTTTACGTTATTGCAAGAGCATTCTTTAGGGGAGCCTCATTGTTGGATTGAATGTTCTTCAGTGCTGCCTAGCACCAGTTACCTTGTATGTCCCTCCAGAGGCATCTTGAAACTGACCCTGAGGTGCTTGTACATACTATATCCTTTTTTTCTTCTAACAAATGTATTTTTTTTTTGGGGGGGGGGTCCCTGAAGTTATCTTGGTGAGATTACTCCATGTTAATGGATCACATCACTTGCAGAAGTTCTGTTTGGTCTACTGGGGACCAGAGCCAAAACAACAGTATCCTTGGACTTGATCCATCCTGCAGGAGCCATGATCTTGTTGTTGCTCTTTTATTTTAGTATTATCTTTACATACTGTACATGTTTTCTCTCGAGTTGTCGTGTGGGCGTGTACTGACAGTTATCTTCTCTGGTGTGTTCAGGAGTTAGTTCCTAAGCAGCCAGGCCACTGCAGTGAAGAGCTTCACCCTGGGCTATTCCAGGATCTTTGATTCCTCTGATTGGGCCCTTGACTGGGGGCATTCCGTTGGATGTGCTGGGGTGCACTGGGGTTTGCGTGGTTGTTTATACGTGTGCTGCAATAATCATCCATAGCCTGGTTGATTTGGCTGCATTTGGTGTCCGTTCTTCCAGTGAGTGGCCCCAATGCCTGTGATTCCTGCTTGGTTAGCAGCTTTCAGGCCATGGCAATCCTCTCGTGGGGTCTCAAGCATAGTCTGTTGTGGATTGGGCCATCAAGCCTGTGCTTGCCTAGTGTGTGAGCTTGATGGGTGTCCATCTTCGCTATTTGACAATGATCATTCTTTCTATCTCGGCCATGCTGCATGTTGGGTCGGTGACAACTATGACCCTGAGTCGTGGGAGATTTGTTCTCACTGGGTCTGTTCTTATAGATTTGGCTTTGGATTTGGAAATTTTTCAGGCAGCTGACAGGTGCCTTTTCAGGTGCCTGACAGCTGAGTTGACAGCGCTTTGGATTCGTAGTCCTGAGGTTCCGGGTTCGATCCCCGGTGGAGGCGGAGACAAATGGGCAAAATGTTTTTCACCCTGATGCCTCTGTTACCTATCAGGAAATAGGTACCTGGGAGTTACAGCTGCTTTGGGCTGCTTCCTGGGGTGTGTGTAACAAAAAGGAGGCCTGGTCGAGGACTGGGCCGCGGGGATGCTAAGCCCCAAAATCATCTCAAGATAATCTCAAGATAAAAGCTGCTGCTTTGCAACTAAGCTAGGTTTGCTCGAGTTGGGCAATCACTGCATATTTATCACCTGGATGCCCCGGCATTAACCCTTTTGGTGTTAAGGGACCCGGAATTGGAGATACAGATATTGGTGACTCTCCTGCTGGACTGAGTCCAAGCCTCTGCTTCTTTTCCCTGCAAGTGCGGTTCACCATGCTTCTGGTCTTTCCACATGGCTCTGGCGCTAGAGTGTCTGAGGGTTTCGGAGCCACGTCAAGGGATTAGCTTGGAGTTGTAGCTTGGTCGTCTTTGGAGATGGTCCCATTCACTTCAAAGGTCCTGCCTGAGACCGAGGGAGACCGAGACCGACTGAGGGAGACTGAGAGTGACTGAGAGTCCTGGGCACCGTTCGTTATCCCTTCTGTTTGGATGTATGAATAAATGGTCAGTCTAAAATTTCACTAATAAAGTGAATGCATGAGGCTGTTACTATAATGTGCAGAATAAAATATTGATAGTACTGTGTATGTGAGGAATCACTAAAGGCAAGATTAGTGGGAGACCAAAGATGGATTCTTACAGTATCTCTCCTCCCTATAAGGAAAAGTATTTTGATATCTGCGTAATTTTTCCTTTACACAATTGGTACCTGTTATATACAATAACTATTCCTTTAAATAGTTCAGTACATATCTGCTTTAATTTTCTGTTATAACAAACACATTAATGTATTCTTTCACCATCCCTATAAACTGCAAACAAATTCTTGACATTTGTTTTTCCATTGTATCCATCAACAATAAATATTCAATGTTCATGGCTCTTCTCATGTAAAAATTACACTTTATGATCTATACATTAAGGTTTTTTGTTTGTGCATTCGATGCCCCATCAGTAAACATTAAAATGTTTGTATTCATTAATCTTTAATCTGTAAATAATAATTAGTTTTATTCCATTCTTCATAAAATAAAATAGGACCTTGATCCCTGCATTAATTGTCTTTTAATTTATTTTTTTAATTTTGCTGGCTATATTCAGCATTCTTTGTTTCTTTTTCCAACTTCAAGCAAATAGATGTCTTCAACATAATTCTTATCAACAGTTTTTGACTTGGTGGTCATATTCAGTATTCTTCCTATGAACATCTTGGTAGTATAGTAGTCGTGATGTGTACACTTAGTGCTCATAGTTGTACACTTTAGCTCTGTTCTTTTACCAGGCAGGGTTAATACACAGCAACAGGTGAACAGTCAGCTGCAAGAATCTTTAATATATGGAGAATTAACTGAATTATCTCAAGGACAGAATATATTCACTAAATAACATGAAAATTCCATTCCTGGTTCTTACTCTTCTGCTAGAAAGTGCTGTTAATGTCACCAACACTATTTATCAGAGTTGTACTTGATTTAACTTGGTGTTACTTTTCCTATAATCTCATTAAATTGTCACATTTTGTTTAATATATTTCATGTATTATAACTTTAATCTGTGTTTAATCATTTTTCCCTTTCAATACTAGCGTAACTGGCCATGCCTTAAAAGTTGGCTGTAGTCCAGCTATGTGAGTAGCTAGCTGACTTGGAAGTTTCACGGTTGTGCGTGTCCTCATGATGTGCAATGCTTTTGCATTGTCCATAAAGTACTTAAGCTATATAACATATTATTCACATTACAATTTTGAAGTTATAATCCACATCACTCAAAGAAGAGCACTATGAATATAGCTCGTACCATGTTCGAGTGTTCCAATTTCTGAATTAAGCTAACAAGTACAGTTGTGTAGAGGCTTCTCGATACATATTCATAAGAATATCACAAAACATTGCATAAACATGATATCGTAATACTTTAGAACAGTTCCTAGTTCAAAATGGTTAGTTCTTGCATGCCTTTGCTTATTTATAACTAAAATAAAAAATGACAGTGCACACTACTTGTGGACATTCACAACCTTGGAAGGTTTCATCAGCGTCTTCTCTGTTGCAGAAGCTGCTGATGAGGGTCGCATGTATTCATGCTCTTTTAACTTAATCTTTGCCTTTTACTTTAAAAGTGATGCCTGTGCTTCTCATGAAATTTCATAGCTTTCTCTAAACACTGATGCTCTTTCTAAAAAATATAAAAAATAGTTTCATTCTTTTATACTTATCCTAAACATTTTCTTCATGACCTCAACACTGTACAATTCAAAGTAACACTAGATTTTTCTTGTTGTAGCAATATATATATAGCAGTTTGCAATGAAATACTAATTATATATTGTATTCTTACTCTTCTGTCACGACTTATGATTTTTTCCCCAGGTCAGTGGTGTGCAGCACAGCCGGGATTCGTATTGTGGAGTTACGAGACCTTCACACCATGGCCTTCCATCACTGGGAGTTTGTCACACGTCCACCGCCACCAGTCCTCCATCTTCCATGGGCACAAGTACCTCACTGGCCATCAGACACGCACATTGAGGTGGTGGCAGAGGATAGTCAGGGTAACTTACTTAAAGGCTGCTTTATGCCGAGGCCACTCTAAGCTGCTTAGCCCATGCTTAGTTATGGCCTCATAGGGTTAGTAAGTTTGTGTGGATTTGAGAATGCTTTTTATTATATCTTGATCAATTATTATATATAAGTAAATTATATTTTGTTATCCACACAGACCTCCTTAAAATTGCAAATATGATAAAAAGTATTCTGCAATATATATTCGAAGCATATGCATATAAATTAAGTCGAACATAAGATACCATTTACATTTGGTGTGGAAGTCTTTATGCAGCTGCTTTCATAAAAATGGAGTGGTCCATTAATAAGTCTTACTAAACGTGCAAGGTGGTACCTTCATTATTCATAAGCCTTAGTAAGATCTGCAAGAAGTAAACATGTCTTGCAGCTTCTCAAGGAAAGTGCCATGATGTGCTGTACCCAATACTTTGGCTTGTGCTTTAAGCAGCCTATAACAACAATTTTCTGAATATCTTTATCCACATTTACGACAAATTTCTTTTCTACTTTATTATTATTATTATTATACCTAATTTTGGAGTTAACCAATTTTCTTTAGGAAAACAAAGGGATGTAATATGCTCTTTCCTATTACCACTTCCAGCATACTTTTATGCAACTGATATTTTTTGCTGGTTATTATTTAACATTTTAGTTTACAGTGTTAGCATTAGTGACTAATATATATATATACACACCAATAAAATAGCAGAAGCTTTGTGAGCACATACATTATACATCACAAAGTTAGCCCTCAATATTTCTACATAGTATCAGTGAGGGTTGCAAGGGTTTGGGCCTATTTTCTTTAGGCTTGTATCAGTCAGCAACAAATAACACTGAATTTCTTAAAGATCTGAGGTTTATCCATTACATATAGGCTGTGAATCATTGCAAACTCCAGCATTCTGCATCTTACAATGTTTCTTGCAATCTCATTAATTATACATGTTGCTTAATTTCAGCAATGGCTGGTTAGCATTTGTAACTACTGGTTTGTCAGGCATATGTTAAATTACCTTGAGCAGCTAGGTTATCAAATAAGAACCGTGTACATACAAAAAGGGATTTTATTTGATTTAAAGAATATACCTTGTATTTTATTTTTATTGAAAGTTGATCTCATACCTGAATATGTTACATATGCAGTGTTTAAATTGCAGTTCTTATATAGAAATTGGATTGTTTATATTCTGTGGCTGTGGCTGTAAATCATCAGATTTATTAGCAATATAATTCGTAGTAATTCTGTAATATAGATATTATGTACATTAATAGCATTGTATAAATTTGTTTGTACTGTATATACTTATGTAAGTAGATATTTGCTCAATAGAACCTTAGTATCAATAAGTTCACATATCTAACTCACCGATGCAAGAATATCAAATTAGTTTTATTGGTTGCGCAAAGGGTAAGCATATTTTTGTTTGTTTTTTAATAATGAAGTGTGATCTTTCTTTAGTATTATTTTATCTCTTTAGTATTGTTTCATATTTTTGGTTCTGGTTTATGCAATTCTGCTAAGCATCCAATTAGATCCCCCCAAAAATACATTGTCCGAGTTTCTTATGCATACAGGGGTCTTTCCTTGTTCAGTAATTTTTGTTAGTTCTCTTGATGTTTTGATGTATATAATGACTCTAATTTTCCTCCTTGATTTATCCTTTTAAATGATATAATTATCATTTTTGTCATAGTAAATCAGTGCCTCTAAACAAATATTGCATTTTGAGTTACCTAAGTTTTAACCATCTTGGACTGCACGCTTCGTAATCAAACGGTCTTCTGTTCTATACATTGTAAACGAGCGTCACACTCGTGAAGAGAGGTAATTTTGTGTAAATTTAAATGCAATTTCTAGTCATTTATTATGAAATCTTTAAAAATCCAGTTAATACTGTGCAATTTGACTCAGAAATTCCACAAATATATGTCGGTTTCAGAATGTATGTCAGTGTTCATATCACTTCATCTGATTGCGTCTTCTGTTTTCCGTGATGAAGCTGCATGTGTGAATTGTCATCTTGTCACCTACTTTTTTTTTTTTTTTTATTGTCTTAAACAGCATTTAAGTATAGTTTTGATTGTAAGAACTGGAGTATAGAGCAATGTCACAACTAATGATTGTAAGGAAATATTATGTAATATTTTTTTGTGGTAGGGGGTCTCCTTGTTGCCTGTATTCACCTAGTTGTGCATGCAGGGACTGAGCTCTGCTCTTACGGCCCGCCTCTCAACTGCCAGTCAGCTGTTACTAACTACTAATTTTTTTTTTCCACACACACACACACACACACACACACACACACACACACACACACACACACACACACACACACACACACACACACACACACACACACACACACACACACACTAACCCCCCAGGAAACAGTCCGTAACAGCTGTCTAACTCCCAGGTACCTATTTACTGCAAGGTAACGGGCATCAGGGTGAAAGAAACTTTGCCAACTGTTTCTCGCCAGCGCCGGGAATCGAACTCTGGATCACAGGATTACGTGTCCAGCGTGCTGTCCACTCAGCCACTGGCCCCTACCCCTGTGTACCTTTTCAGATGGTATTTGTTTCAGCATTGTCATTAGATCTTAGACAATCTAATATTGTCAGTATCAGTGTCTTGAGGAGCTATATCCTGATGTGATTATTAGGATTAAATACATCTTCAGAATGTTAGCAGTAGTTTAGGGTTGACTGCATGATTTGCCTTAAGAGCGAGACCAGGAAATGCTTTGGGATGTGTTGAGCATGAAGATATTACCGGTGATCATGTAACACTGTAAGGATTATTTTTGTTATTAATTAACAAAGTGACAATTCAGGTGATTCAAGGCTTATAATGTCCTTAGCAGTTAAATGCAGTAGGTACTTCTTGTACTGTACTTGAAATACAGTAAGGAAAGCCAATATTTACATGTATTTTCTGTTTATAGTTTGTAATTAATACATGTTGCCATCTTTCAACGACAGTTTTGATGATTGGTTTTCGGTATGAAGAATCTTTCCATTGCCTTTAATACTCATTATTATATGCTGAATCTGTTAATGTAATTCAAATATTGTACTAGATGGAAAGATAGTCTAAAATTTATACATTAGTGTTTCGTGGTGTACGCACACCCAATAGTGATTGCACCAAGGAAATCTACATTGATTAAAGTAGTCTGTTGTATCATCATAATTATAGTGACGACTCGCTGCAGTTAAAGTCTTCATTACTAATTGTGTGAATATGATCTGCACAGAAACAAATATGTTTTTGTCAATTGTTTATATAGCAGTCTGCAAAGTGAATGAAGATGGCACAAGAAAATGCGATGAAAGCTGTAGTTGCATTAACATAATGGACGAAGAGGAATTATTATATAGTTAATAAAAACTGTTATATAATTCTTTGAAATGTGCTGCAACATTCTTTGAATTTAGGGACCTTTAAATTTTGGATTACTCTATCAAAAATTAACTTTCGTAATTATGTTCTTAAATTCAAAACAATGCATATTTTGTTGGAAAATTAATACTGTATTAGAATTATATTTTAAGTCTGAAGCTGCTTACACAATTTGTTATATGCCAATTACTTAAGATACTCTAAGAATTTACTGTCCAGGTTATAATTTAGTTTTCTTAAATTTTGATGGTAACTTTGACAATATTTTTGGATAAGCCCAATAGTCTTCCATAATTGTATTGAAGATCAACTTGAGATGATTGCTGCTAATGACCTAAGCATATATGCCATGTGGTGTCGCATAAATGATATAGCATTAATGTAAGGCAGGTTCTCTCATATACAGAATATATTGGGTGGTTTTTATGTACAAAACCACAAAATTTATTGCAAGCTATTTTAAGTGACGTGTAATTATCTATTTTTTTTACATGGAATAATATTACATAATTTTTATTTTTTTTATATATATAATTTTACATAATTTTTTAATTTAATTTTGTTGTGTGTGTTTTTGAAGACTCGTTACTTAAAGACCAATGTGAGAGCTCTTGGATGGTGTCTTGAACTGGAAATAAATATTAATTTTAAAGAGTTAGGGTGTTTGAAATGTTTGAAAAGTCTTTGTGGGCTGGTGTTATGCAAGCCTTGGTGTTCCATATGAAATTAAGATATTCCAACCATAGGCTCTTGCTTTTGAAAGTGTGATAAATAATAATGATATACCGTATAATGTAGTATGGAATGATTACTGTATAGTAATACAGATATGTATTTTAAATGCGTGTTCGTATTTGGATTGGAATACGAATAGAAATCTTATTGTATATATTTCATGTTTGGTACTGCATATAAACTGTAAATTAAGAATCATGATCTTGACTCAAGCACTTTAATTACTGTGTGTATACAAAAATTGTGTATTTACATATAAAGTTGAAGTGCCAAAGTATAATGTAATTAATACATAGTGATATGGGAACCTGATATTTGCAGGTCTTAAGGGCACCTTATTGGCAATAGTTAAGACAGAATTGGTATCTAGAACAACATACGCATTATTGTGGTGCTATTGCTAAAAAATATCAGTGAAGTAAATGACCTGTATGTAGCTTCCATTTGGCAGGAGTGTTGGGTCATGCTGTTTTTTAATGTGGAGCATTGTATATGGCTTAAAGTGCCTAGATTGTTTTGCATGTCAAGTATTATTAAAAAAAAAGGATAGGAAAGGTTGAACGAGTGGACAGACAGATGTAAAATACTGTACTGGCAAAAATGCATATACTGTATGTCCCCATATCTCCTTCTATTTACCAAGAAACAAAACAGTTTAGAATATAATTGGAAAAGTTCATCAGATACTACATGAAGCTTTCATTATAATTTTTGTAGTGTAATGTCCTGATTTTCAGGATGATTGGAAATTGTTTCCTGCTGTCCCAATGTGCCACCTATTCCTCAATGAAATACTGTGAATTTGGTTCCTTTGCCAGCAATCATCTTTTCTTTCTGCTCTCTGTATTGGTTTCCTGAATGTCTATTAATTCTTGAATATTGTGGCATTGGCAGTGCTGTGTGGCCATACTGGCTTAGCTCTTCTATTGATAATTTCAAGCTGTATACTACATCTCTCATTATAATCCCCAAGTCCATTAGTTAGAAAGGCTGTCAGGTTGGTACGTAGCCTGCATAAATGTAATGTAAAGCATATGAAAGTCTCATTGGCAAAATAAAACAAAAATGGAGTTGGAACTCAACTTAAATGAGCACTGCTGTTAAGGAAGCTATCCATACTTTTCCTGTTTCCCCAAAAGGCATTCCCTTTTCTGATTTCTACCCGTTCATTCATTCCTTGATCTGTGCCCATTGACAAAATTGTTGGTTGTTACTTGTAGCAAACTGCATGCTCTTTAGGGTACCCTGTTCTCTTGGCCTTCCTCCTATCACTGTAACTGGTTGTAGGAAAAGGCTCTGGAGAAGTTCAGAATTGGCCATACATGTTTAACTCGCAGGCACTTAATCTAGTGCCGCCCTGCTCCTTATTGTCTGAACTGCATTGTCCCTCTTACGGTCATGCATCTCCTTGTTGAATGTCCTAATTTCAAGACATTCATGTGTCTTGTTTCCTGACGATCCCTTGCAGTCATTTGTTCCTCGATTGACTCCTTGGCAAATCCAATGCCTTTGTAGAAATGACCCTTAATCACGGCTGATAATAGGAAGTGTGTGGGAGAAGTACCTACACTACTTGCACACGTATGGAGTAAACCACTTGATGCTCATTTGTGTGGGAGAGTGCTCCCAAGGCTAGGGTAAGTAGAGCTATCTTTTAATCTTGTTTTTTATATAATTTTGTGTGCAAGTTAAATGTTATTGCTGCAAGACTGATGCTGTTGAACTTGTAAAGTAACTATTGAGTTTGATGATGATGTAGAACATTTGTTAAATTTGCATTCAGAGTAGCTCTTCATTGTAAACCTTTTTCAATTTATTTTAGAGGAAAGGTCTAGACAAATGTTGATTGTCACCCCTACCAAAACTATTCACATTTAGGCAAGTAGCAGAAGCCTTAGCACTTGCTGAGGAGCAAGACTCACCCAAGAGAAAGATTTGAAAATATCTCCTGAAGTTTTCATTAAGATTATGTTATGAAGAAATTTACTTTAATAAAAAATGCAGTAGTGTAGTGTTGTTAGTGTAACTACTAATTTCAGAAAAAAAAGCCTGAAATATATCCAGACATCAATATCTGCAACCCATGAAAGTGCTTGAAATGAATCTGATCCATCAATTTCTACAACTAGTGCAGCTTCTCCAGAAAATTTATCCTTTATCCTCCACTTGGCAAGGCAACTCCAGAATTTTGGGTAAATAAAACTAGTGTTTGTTCACTATTAGCAAACATATTTGCAAATGTTAAATATACAAATTTTTGTTGGTTTAGGAACCTAACTCCCATTTATGACATTGTGCTTATTAAATATTGCATTTCAAGTCGACGCAAGCAGTAATGTACAGTATATGGTTCGCCATTGTTGGGGAACAGGAAACCTGTTAGGCTTCTCTAGCCTGGCCTTCACCTCAACCCTCCCCCACTTCAGTTCAATCAATGACAAGGCTGACCATAATGTGGCCACCCTACTTGTTATTAGCTTAGCCCAACCATATTTAACTGATTGTGGGCATTCATGCATATGCACTATTAGTTGGGCTTTTAAATTTAATCCAGAAACACCCAGCATAATGGATA